TTTTTTTCTTTTGACAAGTGATTTATGAATCATCTTCTGCCTCATAGAGAACATGAATCACCTGGGGAGCATCTTTCTTTGAGATACTCGGCCATTTTCATAGTTACTCTCATCATCTTCCAGACCTCTTCTTGCTCTTTCTTCAGATGTATACAATGGCACGTCTGTATCAGAACCAGTACCTTCTAGAATCCAGTGATGTAGTGCTAATGTTAGTTCTTTCTTGGAGTATCAGGTAAATACCTGAGTTATTCTTTCCTATAAAAGAAGAATTTCTAAAGAATTTAAGACATTACTTAACATATTTGTATAATAACACATGGGTCAAATAAGTCTCAAGAAATTTTAAAATGTTTTAAGCTAGTGTAAAGGGGAAATACAACTTAACAAAAATTTTGAATAAAAACAAACTGAAGCCAAAGTAAGTAATTGGATAAAGAGAATGAAATTTATTCTAGACATAAATGAAATAAAAACCAGGATATTAGTAGAGAAAACCAATGAAACCAAAAGCTAGTTCTTTGAAAAGATCAGTAAAGTTGGGGAACTTCTAGCCAAGACAAGGAGACCCTCTTTGAACTCCTACTGGAATTCATAGCGCTTAAGAAAAGTACAGGAAGTAAAAGACATTCAAACGGGGAAGGAAGAAAGGAAATTCTGTTTCCAGGTGACGTGATTGTTCGTGTAGAATATCACAAATAATCAAGAAGAGCTGTAAAAGAAAAAAGAGTTGCAACTAATAAGGTCACAGTATGTAAGGTTAATAGACAAAATCATTTTGTATACAAAAGTGCTTACTAAAGTACCAGAAATGAACAATTGGATTTTTAAATGACAAGCATCATACCAGTTTAACCATATTGACATTAAAAAGACAAAACTAATGAAATATGAGCAAGAGCTATATAAGGAAAGCAAAAATGCAAATGAAAAATAACAGAAAATAAGTAAACAAAGAGAACAATTCAATATTGTTAAAATCACCTCAGTTTGATTGTAAATTCAATGCAATTCCTGTCAAAAGCATAGCAAATTGTTGTTTGGTTGGTTGGTTTTTGATGACTATTGTTAAGCTGATTTTAACACTTATATGGAAAAGCAAAAGATCCAAAATAGTCAGCACAATATGATGAATACAAAGTTGGAGCACTAACGCAACACGATTCAAGGTTTTCAATAAAACTACAGTGACCATTACAGTGGTATTGGTAAAATAATCAGTTAAAATAGAACAAAACAGAGAACTAGAAAAAGACCCACACAAATATAATCTGACCTTTGACAATGGCAATTCAATAGAAAAATGATAGTATTATTAACAAATGAACCATTTGCCTGTCAGTGGCTTGTTGTGATGCTGGGAGCTGTGTCACTTTTATTTTAAATACCACCTGGGCCACCCAAGCAGAGCTTCCAGACTATGAATAAACTATGAAGAAGGAATAGGGTGCCCCCTTCTGAAGAATTAGCCACTGAGAACCTTATGACTAGCAGCAAAACATTGTCAGAAACTGAAAACCTCGTGAATAGCGGCAGAACTTGTCAGAGGTAGTGCCAGAAGTTGAACCCTCAGGTCAGAAGGCAGTCAAAATACGACTGAGGAAGAGCTGCCTTCTCAATGGTGTGGATAGTTAAAGCCTTCAAGACCTTCATTTATGATGGGGCACTACTCAAAATGAGAAGAAAAGGCTGCAAACATCAATTACTATTTGGAGCTTGGAATGCATTCAGTATGAATCTAAGAAAACCAAAGGTCATCAGAAATGAAATGGAACACATAAAGATCGATATCATCGGCATTAGTGAGGTGAAATGGACTGGTATTGTCCATTTTTTATTAAATAATCTCTGACTTCCTGGAAGTTGCCAGGAATGACAACTTCAAGAGGAATGGCACTGCGTACATTGTGAAAAAGGACTTCTCGAGATCTATGTTAGAAGTAAAATACTGACTGTGATAGGATAGTCTCTATTGGTACACAAGGAAATCCAGTCAGTACAACTATTATTCAGATCTATGCATCAACCACTAAAGCTAGTGATAGAAAAATTGAAAAATTCCACCATCTTCAGTCTGAGATTGGTCAAATATTAAATCAAGATGCATTGATAATTATTGGCTATTGGAAACAGGAAGGAAAGGTAGCTGGAAAATATGATCTTAGTAATAGAAACCAAGCTGGAGATCTCGTTATAGAATTTTGCAAGACCAATGACACCTTTGTCACATGTACTTTTTTTTCAATAATACAAATGGTGGCTATGCATGTTGATTCTCCTGGTAGAGTATGCAGAAATCAAACTAAAATGAGGCCGGGGGCAACTGGAACACCACCAATTGCTTATAAGTAACTTCTGGTTGAAACTGAAGAAAATGAAAACAAGTTCGTGAGAGCCAAAATAGACCTCGAGTCTATTCCACCTGAATTTCGAGAACATCTCAAGAACAGATTTGACAAACTGAACATCAATAACAGAAGACATGATGAGCTGTGGTTGACAGCAAGAACCTCATGAAGAAAGCAAGGGTCATCAAAAACAGGCAAGAAAGAAAAACTCAAAGTGGATGTCAGAAGAGACATCGTAGAGTAGCTCAGGCAAATGGGAGAAATGATGAAGGTAGAGGGCTGAATAGAAAATTTCAAAAGACAAGTTGAGAAAGCAAAGTAATGTATTGGAGTGTACAGAAACCTAGATTTAGAAATCCAAAAAAGGAAGAACATGCTCAATATATCTTAAGCTGAAAGAACTAGACAAAAAGTTCAGTATTCAAGTTGCAATGTTGAAAGATTCAATGGGCAAAATATTGACTGATGTAGAAGCATCAAAAGAAGATGGAAAGAATACACAGAGTCCCTATACCAAAAAGTACTAGTTGACATTCATGTGGTAGCATTTGATGGAGAACTGATGGCACTAAAGGAAGAAGTCCCAGCTGCACTGAACGCATTAGCCAAAAACAAGGCTCCAGGAGTAAATGGAATAACAATTGAAATACCTTGTCAAGCTGAGGAAGCACTGAAAGTTCTCACTTGTCTATTTCAAGAAATTTGGAAAACCACTACCTGGACAGTTGACTAGAAAAGATCCTTATCTGTTCCCATTCTGAAGAAGGTGACCCAACAAATGTTAAAATTGTAGAACAATTCTATTGATACCACAAGCAAGTCAAATTTTGCTGAAGATCATCCAACAGCCATTACAGCAGCACATTGACAAGAAGCTGCCAGAAGCTCATACCAGACAAGGACGTGGAACAAGGGATGTCTATGCTGATGTTACATGGATACTGACTGAAGTCAGAGAATCCCAAAAAGCTGTTTACTTGTGTTTTATTGACTATGCCAAGGCATTCTACTGTGTGGATTATAACAAATTGTGTACAGCCTTGGGATTCCAGAACACTTAATCATAATCGTGCAGAACTTGTATATGGAAGCAGTGGTGCCAACAGAACACCGGAATACTGCATGGCTTAAAATCAGGAGAGGTGTACACCAGAGTTGTATCCTCTCACCGTACATATTCAGTCTAATACTGAGCAAATAATCAGAGAAGCCAGACTATACGGAGAACAGTGCATCAGGATTGAAGGAAGGCTTATTCACCAGTGATATGCAGGCGACATAACCTTGCTTGTTAAAAATGGGGACTTGAAGCACTTGCTGATGAAGATCAAGGATTGCAGTCTTCAATATGTATTACAACATAATGTAAAGAATACAAAAAATTTCACAACTGAATGAATAGATCATATCCTGATAAACAGAGAACGACTGAAGTTGTCAAAGACTTCATATTGCTTGAATCCACAATCAGTGCTTATGGAAGCTGTATTGATAGATCAAGTGATCAAAAGATGCATGTCATTGGGTAAGTCTGTTGCACAAGACATGTTTAAAGTGTTAAAAAGCCAGGGTGCTACTTCGAGGACTAAGGTGCACCTGAACGAAGCCGTGGTATTTTTAATTGCTTCATATGCATGTGGAAGTTGGACACTGAATAAGGAAAACCGTGGGGGGGGGGCATGGGAATCTATGCATTTGAATTATGGTGCTGGATAAGAATGTTGAAAATACCTTGGACTGCCAGACAAACACCCAAATCTGTCTTGGAAAAAGTACAGCTAGAATGCTCCTTTGAAACAAGCATGTCAAGACATTGTCTCACCAACTTTGACCATATT